TAATGAGAATTAGAACCAAGCAGTGTTTTATACAAACACCATAGCTGTTAATACTAAAATACACAGGGAACAAAACGATGTAAGCATGCAACATTGTGCTAAAGCTATCTTAGGTAGTACTTTTTAACAACGTAAAATAATGGAGATGATATCAAAGTGTCTCCCTACAAATCGGTAAAAATGTACTTGAGATTCAATATGATTTACTTTGAGTTTACACTTTCAAGTATATACGACCTAGTATTTGTAGCTGAGATGGGATGCGTGATCTATAACAAGAAGCTACCTTTCTCTGTAAATACTGATGGATTAAACACCATCTTGTTTTTATCACGTGTGTCGTGTAATCACGTGGCTTCAGTCTAATCCACCACCGGAAGCAGACCATCAGTACGCTTGTATTGAATCAGGTTTTACATGAGTCTATGAAGTAGGCGCTGATTTGGCGTATTGACGTGTCTGGGTAGTACAAGCTCTTTTGAATTAGTGTAATGGAAATGTTGTCCAGACTAGTGTTTGGGGGATTAGGAACAAAACAGTCATATCACGTGTAAAACGTGCGCTATTATACCCATTTAAGATATAAAAACAGCTTTTTAAGCACGAGAATAAATACGGCTAATTCTTACTGGACATAGTGTAAAGTGACCGCTGTCATGGCATTTTGAAAATATTGACTTCTGATATCACCAAACCATAAATATAAATGTCGTTGCCGATAGATCGGGCGATGTGGTTGGGAAATTTGTGTAGCAGAAATGTTATGAATCTGTATTTATCTGTATGATTCTGTAGTAGGTTCTTTTTTTGTAGTGATTTAACAAATTAATTATCGAATTTCCAAACAAGTCTACAAACAAAGATAAGTTTGGGTTTCATACCGTGGTAGAAAGCAGATATAACGGATCAATACTTGGTTGCACACGGTTTGAAATGCTTACACAGAACACACGTGTTTTCATGGATTGTATTTGTGGAACTCTCACGTGCTGTTTGTTGTGTTGGCAACAAAATATAAACAGCGTCTTGTATATATTTGGTTTTCATGATGAGTTTAAATTTCATTTCTTCAAGCATTCCAAATATGGAGTAAACAAAAACATATATTTAGAGAGTATGTGGTGTACACTATTTATACCAAAGACAATAGGAACACGTACTCAAACCAGCAAAACGATATGTAGACCTCCGCGTTGGATTTTTCGGGGTTTATATTTGTGAGCACTGTGTTGTTTTATCTATATATATATATATCAAAGTTACCTATGAACTCCATATTTTACGTAAGTACTAGCTATTATTTACCGCCAGTGTGTACAGAGTTTGTGTGGGAAGTGAGTGTTACGTGTTATTCCAGTCGATAGAGCTACTACAAAAATGACTACATAGAAGTTTTATCGCCTCGTCAAACCGAAGCTTTGGTATACGTAAATGGTTTACTTAAAACATAAATAGATCCAATATCTGTCAGCGATAGTTACATGTGTGCACAATGTATTCGATAATTAAATTTAATTCTCAAATAATAATTAACAGTACTGTCTGAATTGAACCTTTGTCTTATTCAGGTCTTAGATTCACCCTAAAACATTGCTCACATTTCACCTTTATCTTTAAGCCTTAATTTCACCTTAAGGACTTATAGGCGAAATTGGAACTATAACTAACGCTGCCTCGAAAACAGTACGTACTTAATAAATCGATACACATATTTTGAAAACTTAATGAAGACATTTATAAATGCAGCCGTAAACAAGAGGATTCAAATTTATAGAAAACACAATCGCTTTATGCATTCTCCGTCACGGTGATATCTCGTCTAGGGAGTGAAGGCTGTAGATCAAACAGAGGTTAAGTGCAAGATGTCGTTACTGGTTTTAAATTAGAATGGATAATTAGCCTGAAATTTAAACTGCCTGCATACTGTCAATAGTTCGACATCTTTCGTAAAGATGATTATACCAACAGCAAATAAAGAATTTTTGAAACACTATACATCATTTCATATCACACAACAAAAGTTGGTTCCTAATTGATGAGTTGATACTATGATCGTAAAAAGTTGCATTTTGTAGTGTTTCCAGTGAGAGACGTTAGCCTTTCATGGAAATAAACTGATTCAAGAATCTGGAAGATTTTTTTCAGAAATATCTCCTCTGATTCAAACTCCTTATTTCAATAACAAATTACATATATATATTCCACAAATGCTGATTTTATCAAAACAAAAAAGTAAATGTAACCATTTTGTAACTTCAAGTCAAATTAGAATTACTTTCGGAAGTAAACGATTCTTCATTTACGTCTCCTTATTTCGGTTTCCAATAATCAACTCGTCAAATGGGAACTACAGCTAGGCATACACTAGTGCGATTAGTGTCTGTTAACTTCTGTACAGAATATAAAGGTATTAATTATGGATATGTCACAAATCACAGGTATCATACATGGCAAAATAAACAAACCTTAACTTCAAAACAGCTGACAATTTGGACTAAAATGACATGACTTGACTTCTTATTTTTTATATTCGTGAGTTTTGCGGGAGGGGGGTGGTGGGGGGTGGGGTCAGGCGACATCCCAAAGCCGATCAAAGTTGTCGGACACTATGGAATTTTATGCTACAAGCTTGGTCAGCTCATACCACAAAAAGCCGGACATCGTTCACTGATGTACCAGGATGTTGGACATCGTTCACTAATGTACCAGGAAAGTGGACATCGTTCACTAATGTACCAGGAAAGTGGACATCGTTCACTGATGTACCATGATGTCGGACATCGTTCACAGATGTACTAGAAAGTCGGTTATCGTTCACTGATGTACCAGGATGTCGGACATCGTTCACTAATGTACCATGATGTCGGACATCGTTCACTGATGTACCAGAAAGTCGGACATCGTTCACTGATGTACCAGGAAGTCCGTTATCGTTCACTGATGTACCATGATGTCGGACATCGTTCACTAATGTACCATGGTGTCGGACATCGTTCACTGATGTACCAGAAAGTCGGACATCGTTCACTGATGTACTAGGAAGTCGGACATCGTTCACTGATGTACCAGGAATTCGGACATCGTTCACTGATGTACCAGGAAGTCGGGACATCGTTCACTGATATTCCAGGAAGTTAGACATTGTTCACTGAACTGATGTACTAGGAAAGATGGACATCGTTCACTGATGTACCAGGAAGTTAGACATTGTTCACTGAACTGATGTACTAGGAAAGATGGACATCGTTCACTGATGTACCAGAAAGTCGGACATCGTTCACTGATGTACTAGGAAGTCGGACATCGTTCACTGATGTACCAGGAATTCGGACATCGTTCACTGATGTACCAGGAAGTCGGGACATCGTTCACTGATATTCCAGGAAGTTAGACATTGTTCACTGAACTGATGTACTAGGAAAGATGGACATCGTTCACTGATGTACCAGGAAGTTAGACATTGTCTGCAGAGGAAACAGAAAGTCTGGCACTAAAACGTATATCATCTCAAATATCAATTCATATACACTGTACACGAGTCGTTATATATAAACCCAAATCCACACTGTAGCATTCTGCTTATCGATGCGGGATATCTATTTCGGATCCAGAGGAAAATTATTAACTTAACATGTCAGTTGGCCTATATTTTCGTATAGAAGCATCAAGTAAAATTAATTAAAACCTAAATATATCTTATCAAGGTCATAACACATCATTCAATTTATATATAGTACGTACAACTAAATTCGTTCCTTATTTTGGGTATTTTTTGTTTTTAGTATGTACATTTAAATGTAGATATGCTTTAAACACTGCCTCTGTGTATACGGTATTTAGCAATGAATAAGCTAAAACAAGCGTGTTAACAAGCTTGATTATAAAATATTTATCGTACAAAATTAATTTGTTGCACGGGTATAAAATCTTATTGTATTTTATTAATGCAATTTATAATGATAGAAATTAAATTCCATCTGTAAAACAATCAACGTCTTTAATGTTACAGGATATAAATTAGTGTATTTATTTGGCATACAGATCAAACGAGTCACTTAAAACTGTTTAATTTGTACGAAAATGTGAATTATTTTAGAGGTTATATCGGAAAGCTATTGTTAAGTAACGTCGACACTGCAGAACGCGTCAGTGCTCATGTTTCTACATATGAAACATTACTCATTCCTATCTAACACCATCTGTCATCAATTGAAATCCCAACATTTTATGTAAATGGTGAACAAAAACAAACCTACCCATCAGTCCATAGTCAGAGTATTGATGTGTAAATTAAATACATAAGCGATGTTTTCAAATTTGTTTTCAAGATTTTTTTTTCAGAGCAGTTAAACAAATATAAGTATCTTGCTTTATTACATCAAGTTCTCAACAACAGAACCTCCGCTTGTTTCGAGCAATTTGATTATATTGTGTGATTTCAAAATTTGAAATATTGCGTTACATCCACACTCATGTGGAAAAATGACATTTTAAATTCGTTTGTGGGAAGTTATACTGCAATATGCAGAATTCAAAAGGTCTTGTAATTTTAATCAGGTGCTGTCTGTCGTTTTCTGGTTATTAAATAGTCATTATTGAAACTCCTAAAGACTATTGATTATTGATGCTACTCAGAATTACACCAGAATTTTAACAAACACAAAAATAACAAGACGGCAGTTTTATTCTCAAACAAGTCAGGATGTCTTCTTTTCGTGCTCACGTAAGTCTGAAGGATAATCTCGAGGTAATTACGGTGTAAAGCAGAGTTAGCAGAGTGAGACAAAACAATATCGTACGGCTAAACGGTCACGTGATCTATACAGGTTACGTTGGAATTGCTATTTTAATTTCGTCATACTTTCTACTGTCATACACAATTATGTAATAAAAACGATTTTGTATTGGGTATCGCGTAGTAGGCTGTTTGAACTGCTATACTGTCTGAGGAGACAGAAGATATATGGGAACCGTGGTATAACTGTAACGATTATTGAATAATGTCTAACTTCAAGGATATAGACATGATAAGTGTCTGTCAGGATATGTCAGTGAAATCTAACTGTCAGGATATGCCAATGAAATCTAACTGTCAGGACATGTCAGTGAAATCTAACTGCCAGGATATGTCAGTGAAATCTAACTGTCAGGATATGTCAATGAAATCTAACTGTCAGGATATGTCAATGAAATCTAACTGTCAGGATATGTCAGCGAAATTTAACTGTCAGGATATGTCAGTGAAATATAACTGTCAGGATATGTCAATGAAATCTAACTGTCTGGATATGTCAGCGAAATCTAACTGTCAGGATATGTCAATGACATCTAACTGTCAGGATATGTCAGTGGAATCTAACTGTCAGACTTTGTCACTGAAATATAACTGTCAGGATATGTCAGTGAAATCTAATTGTCAGGATATGTCAATAAAATCTAACTTTCAGGATATGTCAATGAAATCTAACTGTCAGGATATGTCAGTAACATCTAACTGTCACGATATGTCAATGACATCTAACTGTCAGGATATGCCAGGGAAATCTAACTGTCTGGATATGTCAATGAAATCTAACTGTCAGGATATGTCAGTGAAATCTAACTGTCAGGATATGTCAATGACATCTAACTGTCAGATATGTCAATGAAATCTAACTGTCAGACTTTGTCACTGAAATCTAACTGTCAGGATATGTCAGTGAAATCTAATTGTCAGGATATGTCAGTGACATATAACTGTCAGGATATGTCAATGACATCTAACTGTCAGGATATGTCAGTGAAATCTAACTGTCTGGATATGTCAATAAAATCTAACTGTCAGGATATGTCAGTGAAATCTAACTGTCAGGATATGTGAATGAAATCTAACTGTCAGGATATGTCAATGGCATCTAACTGTCAGATATGTCAATGACATCTAACTGTCAGGATATGTCAATGACATCTAACTGTCAGATATGTCAATGAAATCTAACTGTCAGGATATGTCAATGACATCTCACTGTCAGGATATGTCAATGAAATCTAACTGTCAGGATATGTCAATGAAATCTAACTGTCAGGATATGTCAATGGCATCTAACTGTCAGATATGTCAATGACATCTAACTGACAGGATATGTCAATAACATCTAACTGTCAGGATATGTCAATGTCATCTAACTGTCAGGATATGTCAATAACATCTAACTGTCAGGATATGTCAATGTCATCTAACTGTCATGATATGTCAATGAAATCTAACTGTCAGGATATGTCAATGACATCTAAATGTCAGGATATGTCACTGAAATCTAACTGTCAGGATATGTCAATGACATCTTACTGTCAGGATATGTCAGTGAAATCTAACTGTCAGGATATGTCAATGAAATCTAACTGACAGGATATGTCAATGTCAACTAACTGTCAGGATATGTCTGTGAAATCTAACTGTCAGTATATGTCAATGACATCTAACTGTCAGATATGTCAATGACATCTAACTGTCAGGATATGTCAGTGAAATCTAACTGTCAGGATATGTCAATGAAATCTAACTGTCAGGATATGTCAGTGAAATCTAACTGTCAGTATATGTCGATGAAATTTAACTGACATGATATGTCAATGAAATCTAACTGTCAGGATATGTCACTGAAATCTAACTGTCAGGATATGTCAATGACATCTAACTGTCAGGATATGTCAATGACATCTAATTGTCAGGATATGTCGATGAAATCTAACTGTCAGGATATATGAATGATATCTTACCGTCAGGATATAGAAATTACATTTTACTGTAAGGACAATGGATCACAATACATCTGTAAGGATAAGAGATTAAGTTTCAACTGAAAGGTTATGCTTACTTTATCTAGTAGTCTGGATATGGAAATGAAATTCTAATATAAAAGCGTGTTTAAATGCTATTTCTATTTTTAAAGTATTGAGTTGGCATTTGATAGCAAGCATAAAACATTCATATTATACTGTGACTTTATGTGAAGATATAACATCAATATCATATTGTGACTTTTATGTATGGTTATAACATCGGTACTATATTATGATATCTTTGTTAGTATATAACATTGACACAACACTGTGACATTTACATAAGGATTCAGACACGTTATTTTTACTATAAAAATGTAGGAATGACATTTTAATGGATGGACAATAAATCACATCTCAACGTGACTGTATAATCTAGACTTGTGTTATTTTTACACTTGTAAACGCACGACTAAACTAAAAATCTGTTGGAAATAACGCGACGAAATGAAGAACATAATCTCTTGCCCGACTGAGAAATTACATATCTTTTCAATGTTTTAAAACAACTTATATGATTTATAAGTGTGGCAAAACCTCCAGGGGCAAGTGTCTGGCAGTAGACAAATGACAAAGGAGAATGGCGATGTCCATGTTTCCAGACAAATGACAAAGAATAGTGGAAAATGTCCAAGTTTTCCAGACATTCGTGGGGCCGATGTAGATGAAATTAATGTTGTCCTCTTAATAATTGTCTTGTCCCTTGTGTGACGCCACTGACTTTCTTGATAAATAAATAACGAAAACAAAAACATTAGTGCCATCGTCTGTCGTTTGAAATATGATCAAACAAACAACGTTATAGACAACGCATGAAATACGATTTTTCAAATTTATCTGCTGAACGAATTTAGACATTTACAAAAATATGTTTGTGTTGACTGGGATTTAAGTTTATACTTATAACGATAAAAACCATTTGATGAGAAACCTTTGGATTTTATCACAGACTGCTGAATAGACGTACATATTAATGTTGTTGAAATCAGGTAAATACTTTGTTTCCATTTAAACCAGCTGAAGCGTATCGGCGGAAATTAAGCCATGTGAGTTTACATGATGATATGGCAGAATCTTTAGTGTTTTTTTCTTCAAAGAGATCAACGTGGATTTTTTTTTCATTGGTTAGATTTGACTGCCTATAAGTCTACCATATTCCTGGGAAATAAAGGTCGTCTTTAGAAAAAACAAACAAATAAATAAACAAACAAATAAACAGTATATAACTGATAAATAATCATCGAAATAATGATGATGGAACAATGCAGAAAGTTATCACGTGAAATAGTTACCAGAAAAAACAAAAACAAACAAAATAAAAAAAAAACCAAACAAACAAACAAACAAATATCGCTAGTAAAAACAAGCGATAGCATATAGTATACCTATTGTATCCTTGCTTGTTTTATTTATAGAATATACTGGTCCATTGATCTGTTTGTGCAATGTAAGCTTTCCGACGAATCCTTGGGTAAAGTATCAGACTTTTTACTCACACCTATTACGTTAATTCGGATACTACTGACCATACAAACTGTATATGTTTATACGATATCTTTCTCAGCGCGAAAATGTCCGAGATGACCGGTGGTCACGCAGCACTAATGCCGAATCAATACTAATTTGGTATCGAACTTGTCCGTAATTGTTTACTAGACTGTGTTCATCAGCTCCCAAGCGTTGAATTTGTAAGCATTCCGAGGCTGCAAAGTCCAACACGAAAGATCAAGATGGTACTATTTTTTTAGGCACGGGGTCAAAAATCAATACCGACCAGATCGGGGTAACTCTTATAAACATTATTTCCACGTGAATTGAAACTCTGCATCAGAAACGCAGACTTTTATTTCATAAATTGGAACTACTCTAATACATGATTATTGCAGTCTATGTTAGCTCTCTTACAGTCTTGTGCTTATGGATTTTTGGATAAAGTCTTCAGGATTCAGACAATTTTCCGAACCGACGATGGAATCCAGACATGTTGCTATTTCACTGGGGATTGTAAACAATCCATGACTATTGTAATTACATAGTTTTCATCGTGTACTTTACAAAACAAGACTATCATAAAAAAATATTTATTTAACGTATCATAACTAACGAAGCATGACTATTGTTAACAGCATTATCACACACCGTAACTAACCAAGCATGACTATTACAAACTACACATTTCCTACACCTACCTAACCATGCATGACGATTGTAAGCTACATTTGTTACATAACCGTAACTAACCAAGCATGACTATTACAAACTACATCTTTCCTACACCTACCTAACCAAGCATGACGATTGTAAACTACATTTGTTAAAATAACCGTAACTAACCAAGCATGACTATTACAAACTACATCTTTCCTACACCTACCTAACCATGCATGACGATTGTAAGTTACATTTGTTAAAATAACCGTAACTAACCAAGCATGACTATTACAAACTACATATTTCCTAAACCTACCTCACTAAACATGACTATTGCAAAGTACAAATTTACTAAACCTTACCTAACCAAGCATGACGATTGTAAATTATAATTGTTACATAACCGTAACTAACCAAACATGTCTATACAAATCAACATTTCCACTCATCGTAACTACCTGAGGACCACAACCTAGCAGACATTCAATTTTCTATTATTTCATGCAAAACTTCCCCTTCCTGTCTTTCTCCTCTGCTTATCCTGTCTCCCTTCTTTTTCCCTTCGCCTTCTTTCCTTTACAATTATGATATCAGGACTTGTAATAAATACTAGAACATGTTGAAATGCTTTCTTAATTATGTTTGTAACACTGAGCGAGTGATTTGTACATGTAATATTGAAATACTACCCCTCGATTCCTTTGATATACTGTCATCAGATATCTTTAAATAAACACAGCACTTTTTTTTTTAATATAAAAACTGCATATACGTTCTTTATATATGTACGAATACCTAAACTGGTGTCAGTATAGCATTCTATATGCTTGTAGAAGTTAGCAACTGTATCAGCCTGGAGTTATTTTATTTCGTTTAATTTTGCTGATATAAATTTCGGATTTTGGTCTCAAATAAACCGTTGCAGGATTCACTGTGGCGCATTATAAACAAAAGCATTTCAATAAATGTAACGAGTACAGGATTTCCTGAAACACATATTGTTATTAAAATACTATATCCTTTCTACTGTCTAATGTCTTTTCAGGTGAGATATAAGACGCGATAGTGACACAGATCCACTTGCGTTCATATTCTTATAATTGCCATACCGGACATCTTCTGAAATGTATAACGAATTTCATGCATTCGCTGGCTTTTGGAATACACTTCATGGGACTTAGGTCATTTTTTTTTGGAGCACACTAGCACCGTAAATCGCGATTAATGTGTTTGATTAAAGGGATAGACGTCTACATATCTTTAAGTAAGAGTAATCGATGTATTAACAGCCTAACAAGAGAGATTTCTAGGAGGAATTTCGAAAAACAATCATTAATTTGAATCCCCATATCGCATGCAAAATCGATATACCTTCCTAAGCTGCGCTGAGACAAGCTAAATGCGACATAATTAAGTGCAGTGTTTATATAATTGCAGAAGTAAATGTTGAGAATATTGATCTGTCCCTCTTTTAATGTAACATGGGTATTTTATAAATGTATAGATGCTTGACAAACTCGTCAATTTACTGTTCATGTATGTCTTCATTCGACTAGACATATGAATGCGAAATTTTCATCGATTTCTAAATCGTTATCAAGAATGACATACTGATTTTCTGAATTAACTTCGTGACGTTTTACACACGTTTCAGTAGAACTTCGACACTGTTGGT